GAGCGCGCATCACGCGCATCTGACGGCCACTCTGTGCGCGTACACCAACACCGCTCTATTGGGTAAGATACCAGACCTGCCATCCCACCCCCATCCTCTGACGAGGCTCTAGTTGGGGGAAACTGTCTGGGGATTCCCCTCTGTCGAACTTGCTGTTGAGTGCACGTCATAGCCAATCAAATGGGGTGGTCAGACGGCCCTGGCTGCCGCACTCCAGAGGTGTATTGAAGTGAAAGACATCAGCATGAACATATGTATACATGTGTATACACTACATACACATGCGTGTAACTCCTTAAGTGGATATGACAGTAGTGTTGCCGGTGGGTAAAAAATATGAGACATATAGGCATATGTTCACATGAACGCCTTCTATGCATCATGTATAGAACACATGTAATACATGATGATAAATACAGTAAGATAAAATAATAATAATATAATAATATGATATAAGATAAAATCCATATAATACAACTACGACTCTATACACATAATTGCACGTTAGATATTGAGGTAAAAACCACGATATAGGCGCTTAAGCACCCTAGTACTGATAAAAGACATTAAAATGATCCAATGATAGTACTACTGATAGTGAGAGAGTCTAATATTAGGATACTATGATCCAGCATACAAGGCCATCACTTGCACCTTAAACCTAAAGCAATCTATTATTTTTGGTTTTTGGTTTTGCTTCTTAATAGGGTGAATGGTAATAGCAGCATATGTGACGGGACCCTGTATGGAAGATGTATATATTCGGTGTAACCATATAGAATAATATACATACAACAAATATATAAAGATATGATAGACTTCATATCTATACATTTAAAAGATCCATGAACCGTGGGCTTGCAGTATGTTAACAGTCTTAGGGAGTCACTAGTTAGCACCAAACTACTGAAGGGACCATACTACAAGTACACATATGGTCCCTTCAGTAGTTTGGTGCTAACTAGTGACTCCCTAAGACTGTTAACATACTGCAAGCCCACGGTTCATGGATCTTTTAAATGTATAGATATGAAGTCTATCATATCTTTATATATTTGTTGTATGTATATTATTCTATATGGTTACACCGAATATATACATCTTCCATACAGGGTCCCGTCACATATGCTGCTATTACCATTCACCCTATTAAGAAGCAAAACCAAAAACCAAAAATAATAGATTGCTTTAGGTTTAAGGTGCAAGTGATGGCCTTGTATGCTGGATCATAGTATCCTAATATTAGACTCTCTCACTATCAGTAGTACTATCATTGGATCATTTTAATGTCTTTTATCAGTACTAGGGTGCTTAAGCGCCTATATCGTGGTTTTTACCTCAATATCTAACGTGCAATTATGTGTATAGAGTCGTAGTTGTATTATATGGATTTTATCTTATATCATATTATTATATTATTATTTATTTTATCTTACTGTATTTATCATCATGTATTACATGTGTTCTATACATGATGCATAGAAGGCGTTCATGTGAACATATGCCTATATGTCTCATATTTTTTACCCACCGGCAACACTACTGTCATATCCACTTAAGGAGTTACACGCATGTGTATGTAGTGTATACACATGTATACATATGTTCATGCTGATGTCTTTCACTTCAATACACCTCTGGAGTGCGGCAGCCAGGGCCGTCTGACCACCCCATTTGATTGGCTATGACGTGCACTCAACAGCAAGTTCGACAGAGGGGAATCCCCAGACAGTTTCCCCCAACTAGAGCCTCGTCAGAGGATGGGGGTGGGATGGCAGGTCTGGTATCTTACCCAATAGAGCGGTGTTGGTGTACGCGCACAGAGTGGCCGTCAGATGCGCGTGATGCGCGCTCACGTGATCGCGCCGACGGACCTGTCCTCCTCACACTGCGCATGCGCATGTTGGTCCACGCATGCGCAGTCACGAGCATTCCATACTAGCGTGCGTTCCACACACAGGGTAAACCTGCAGCTATAGAGGGAAGCATAAGATCTCCCTCTGCTGCTGACTATACATTACTACGGATCCAAGAGTACTGATCCAATCCTCTCCATCATCCGATCACGAAGCACATGCAGCTGCCTGGTAGCACACAACACACAGTTTCTGGTTGAAGGTTTGTGTGTGGGTTTATACAGTTGTGACCAAAATTATTCAACCCCCAATGCTGTAAAGGGGTTTAGGGACTATAGTGTACATTTGGAATTGTATTCAGAATCAAATCCTACAAGGACGTTGTAACTACCCAAATGCAACTAAATGACATCAATTGTTTATGTAATACAGTAGTAAATGGTTCTTATGTGGTTTCTTCATTGCCACAATTATTCAACCCCTTAAAGACTACCACTCTGAAGAACAGAGGTTCATACAGGTGCTTTCCATCAGGTATTGAAAACACCTGTGGATGTCACCGAGCAGCAATCAAGCATAATAAGCACCAATTAGGCAGCTTTAAAATGACTGTGATACTCAGCTCCTTCTAGACATTTACTGGTGTGGTTACAAACATGGTGAAGGCAAGAGAATGGTCCAGGAAGACAAGAGAAGAGGTGATTTCTCTTCACAGGAAGGGCAATGGCTATAAGAAGATTGCAAAGATGTTAAACATACCAAGAGACACCTTAGGAAGCATCATTCGCAAATTCAAGGCAAAGGGCACTGTTGAAACGCTACCTGGTCGTGGCAGAAAGAAGATGCTGACTTCGACTGCTGTGCGCTACCTGAAGCGTAGAGTGGAGAGAAGTCCCCGTGTGACTGCTGAGGAACTGAGAAAAGATTTGTCAGATGTGGGTACAGAAGTTTCAGCCCAGACAATAAGACGCACACTGCGTAATGAAGGCCTCCGTGCCAGAACTCCCAGGCGTACCCCCTTGCTGTCTCCAAAGAATAAGAAGAGTCGACTGCAGTATGCCAAAAGCCATGTGGACAAACCACAAAAGTTGTGGGATAGTGTTCTGTGGACTGATGAAACAAAATTAGAACTGTTTGGGCCCATGGATCAACGCTATGTTTGGAGGAGGAAGAACAAGGCCTATGATGAAAAGAACACCTTGCCTACTGTGAAGCATGGTGGAGGGTCAATCATGCTTTGGGGCTGTTTTGCTTCTGCAGGTACAGGGAAGCTTCAGCGTGTGCAAGGTACCATGAATTCTCTTCAGTACCAGGAGATATTGGATGGAAACGTGATGCAGTCCGTCACACACCTGAGGCTTGGGAGACGTTGGACCTTTCAACAGGACAATGATCCCAAGCATACCTCCAAGTCCACTAGAGCATGGTTGCAGAGGAAAGGCTGGAACATTTTGGAGTGGCCATCGCAGTCACCAGACTTAAATCCGATTGAGAACCTCTGGTGGGACTTAAAGAAAGCAGTTGCAGTGCGCAAGCCTAAGAATGTGACTGAACTGGAGGCCTTTGCCCATGAAGAATGGGCGAAGATACCCGTAGATCGCTGCAAGACACTTGTGTCAAGCTATGCTTCACGTTTAAAAGCTGTTATAACTGTAAAAGGATGCTGTACTAAGTACTAAGATTGAATGTCACTTGGGGGTTGAATAAAACTGATAATGCTGTGAGCACAGAGAAAAGACATTTGTGGTTATTTCATTATAACTGTTATGTTATATTTGTCTGACCTACAAGTGCCTCTTTAATGTAAATGTAAGCAAGATGACTGAATGATCAAGAGCAATGTCAAACTGGCCAAAACACTCAATTTCAGTGGGGGTTGAATAATTTTGGTCACAACTGTATGTCTACATATACTGTATATACATGTGTTTGTGTCACTATGGACACTTAACCATTAAGACATCCATTGACTAACAATTTATGTCTATTGTTACATTAATTGCTATATACTCATCCAGCTTCATGACAAGTCCTCTGGATGAATTGTCCATTTGATACATCGCTCACTAATGAATCATGGAATAAGACTAACTATTTACAATATATTATGTCTCATCATGTATTATCTATTATCATCATTTCCAATGGTGTCATCGCCTAGTTGATATATTATATGCACACTAAGTGGTGTATGCAAAATGTGGTTTTTTATATATTTTATATCTTATATTTTATGTTTGTCTATATCATTTCTCTCTGATGGCATTACAAACAGTGATTGTCTGTTGACGATATCTTGGCCCCTCCTACTAACCTGAGACTGCCCAACCCAGTGGGGAGGGCCTAGGTTCAGTCCAGGAGTATATATAGGAGAGAGCACTCACAGTTCAGTTAGCTCTGAGGAAGAAGGGACCCCCTTCGAAACGCGTCAGCTGTACTGAACACCCACTCCCCTGATGGGACTCATGTTATCTTCAAGTCCCTGAGGACTTACATGCCTGATTTTATTCGCTGTTTGTGAGTATATTTTTTACAATTAATAAATTTTGGTTACTGAGGTAATGCGCAAGGTTGGTGCGCTTCTCGTTTTCATTTCATTCTGCAGTGTTGATTGGGCTTCCCCAGCCTTGTTTTGGAGCCGCACAGCCCTTTATGCATTGGTGGACGATCCCTCCAGGCCTGGTTCCATCTGTTCGCCACCTGTCTGAGTCCCAGAGCGCAGGAGAATTCGTTTTTGATTTACCCTTATCAGCTTTGTTGCCCTTCTCTTCCCAGTTCTCAGACTTTTAGTGGCAGTAAGCTGTCCAATGTACTTTTAGGGCATCCCACTAGTCAAGCCAGAAGCTTATCCAGAGGTAGAATCTAACCCTCTACGACCGATCTACATTTGCAGGTACAGACTCCCCAGGGCAGAGCAGGAAATAGCAACACATAGATTCTCATATCCATGTGTTTGGTTCTGCCTATCAGTATGGTCACATTGGAATAAGGTATCTGAACTTATCTCTGAAGTTATGTGAAAAAGAGTATATCTCGCCATAATAGCTCTACTACATATTAATATTGAACATTTCCAGACTTAGGTTAGGTCAAACATAATCTATATAATTCTAGTGGCAAAACTTAAAGTGTCACTAAACCCAGGACCCTGCATCTACTATATCTGGTCTCCTCGGACCCTGCATCTACTATATCTGGTCTCCCCGGACCCTGCATCTACTATATCTGGTCTCCCCGGACCCTGCATCTACTATATCTGGTCTCCTCGGACCCTGCATCTACTATATCTGGTCTCCCCGGGCACTGCATCTACTATATCTGGTCTCCCAGGACCCTGCATCTACTATATCTGGTCTCCCCGGGCACTGCATCTACTATATCTGGTCTCCCCGGACCCTGCATCTACTATATCTGGTCTCCCCGACCCTGCATCTACTATATCTGGTCTCCCCAGACCCTGCATCTTCTATATCTGGTCTCCCCGGACCCTGCATCTACTATATCTGGTCTCCCAGTACCCTGCATTCACTATATCTGGTCTCCCCGGACCCTGCATTCCCTATATCTGGTCTCCCTGGACCCTGCATTCACTATATCTGGTCTCCCCGGACCCTGCATTCACTATATCTGGTCTCCCCGGACCCTGCATTCACTATATCTGGTCTCCCCGGACCCTGCATCTACTATATCTGGTCTCCCAGGACCCTGCATCTACTATATCTGGTCTCCCCAGACCCTGCATCTACTATATCTGGTCTCCCCGGACCATGCATCTACTATATCTGCTCTCCCACAGTACACAGAACATGGAAGTGCAATTATTTTGGTAAATATGAAATGCTAAATACCTTCTCTCATCAGCAGTTAGAGCAATCTTGTGATTTCTATTAGTGTCCAGCAGAGCACTGGTTAAAGCATGTAGAAGGAGTTTTCTTTCTGCTCTAGGAGTATGCAGAACCCCTGACCTCTGTCTGCATAGTGCTGATTGGCCCTGTGCTGATCACATGCACACTCCCAAGAAAAAAAAAAAAACTTCTCTAGCAATACGCAGAATGGCTACGATTCAGTCTGTCTTATCAAGAGGTAAGACGTGGACATTTGAACAAGAGGAGGAGCAGCAAAGTCAGGATCAAATGGCCTTTTTACACAATGCAGAGGATTAACGCCTTAGGTTCCACAGTGAGTATAACAAGCATGTTTTACTGCATATACAGACTGATTGTACTGTTATGGGTTTAGTAATACTTGAAAGAGGAGTGGCAGAAGAGGCCTTAAAGGGGAACGTCCCCTTTTGGGTGGAGTTACGCTTTGTTTTTACTGTTGTGGGTTTAGTAACACTTTAATTCTATAAAAATCTGGGTTTGCCCATCCCTGCCATTTATTCTGAGAGATTTTAACAATCAATGCCCATCTGAAAAAATTAAAATGCTTAAAAATAACCTTTACCAACAATTCCTGGACAAATGGAACATGTGGCTATGGAATCAACAATGTATTGTACGGTAGAATAACCCCAGATTTCTCCTGTCATAAACACTGGTAATGTTAATGTTATGGTTTCTGCCATTACTTTTTGTTGTTGTTCCCTTTTTCTCTTCATCACTTTTAGGACAAGGCAATTCATGAACCTGTATTTCTAGTTTGCAAAGTCTAACTAGTTAGATCTTTAATGGTGGATTGAGACATATAGATTTTGAAACAAGTCAGCTCTAAATTGTATGTATATACCAGGGGCGGACTGACCATTTGAGCACTCGGGCACTGCCCGAGGGCCTGGGGTCAGTAGGGGACCCCATGAGATGCCCCTGGTACCTTTCATTGTCTTTTTCATAGGCTTTTTTGGGTGTGGGCAAGGACACAGGGGCCCCAATGATCCCCTATTGCCCGGGGGCCCCATGAGTTGTCCCCTGGTATGTACTACCTATACTTGCAAAAATACCTTGTATTGTTGGTTTACTTAATGTTTTGTGTACTCTGTAACTACCTGTACTCTAGACTTTTTCTCTTTTGTAACTTCAATAGAAAAATTATTGTTCAACAAAAAAAATCGAAGGTAATTGGTTGTAGAAACAATGAGAATGAATAAATGTAATTCCCAACTCTCCAAACAACATATCTAAGCAAGTTAAATAAGATGTGTCATGCAGCTGTGAAAATCTGGCAAGCTGAGATGTCTAACTGCATTCTACAGTACATACTTCTCAGCGGCTCCAGTTTTGGCAGCATGGTCCAGACTCCTGGCTGCCGATAAGTTGCTTGTACAAAGAGTTTTTCCTTTTTAATGAGGTGTTAGGGCTAAACTACACAGGTGATGATCAATCATTTGAAGGAAAACAACGGGACCCGAGTCAACTTTTAAAAGGTCCATTCCAGTCGAAACATGAAAATATACTTAAATGCATAATGCCTCCAATTTTATTTCCTATATAGACTCCTGTGCTCAGCAACATCTTGTAATCAGCACTGGAAAAATTCCAGGAGTGAAGAAAAAAAAGCAAGACTCCTATAAAAAAAGTAATGGCTTCTCCAAGCATCTTCTGCTGAAGCTAATGGAAGTACCGCTGCCCTATTGTTCATAGGTCACTTACAGACAGACATTTGTTCGATCTTTAGTATAAAAGATTATTAATAGTAATTTCATAATAATAATAATCTTCTCCTTCAACAAAATTAAGATATACAACAACATAAACAGTATAGAAAATTATACTTCCAGATATGAGAAATATACACAAAGTTGCAACATATGTGAATAGAAAGACATGTGCATCAAGTTCAACCAACATAGTTCATAGGTTACTTACAGACAGACATTTGTTTGATCTTTAGTATAAAAGATTATCAATAGTAATTTCATAAAATAATAATAATAATCTTCTTCAACAAAATTAAGATATACAACAACATAAACAGTATAGAAATTATACTTCCAGATATGAGAAATATACACAAAGTTGCAACATATGTGAATAGAAAGACGTGCATCAAGTTCAACCAACAGACAAAATTAAATACATTAAGAACCTGCACCCATAAAACCCTAAAGCTACAGCTGATTAATTAAAAAAAAGTGAAAAAAACCCTGGTCACAACACGTAGAGTAGTTGCTGTCTGAGTGACACATATTTGGTTGGATGCCGATAGTGGATCATCTGGTTCTATAGGCATTTATCCTTCCAGCTAAGTATTGGGTTTAGTTTTAGTACTTCTGCAATATTTCATGTTCTTTGTCTGAATTCTAGGATTCATTTACTACCACAGCTTTACTGATGTGTTTAAATCTCAAAGATTGGCTAATTGTGTGCTACAGTATATTCCCTTTACATTCAGATCAATTTTTATACCTTTGGCCTGTAACGATTTGATTGAATTACAATTAAAGATGGACATTTTAGGTATACTCTACACTGTGTGTCATGCATTCAAAAAATGATTAAAAAAAAAATGATTAAAAAGTAAATAATAAACCTTATAAAGAGTTGGGGACTAAAGGGGAAAAAATCATTTCACATTGTATAATTTACACATATTCGCAGGCCAAAAAAAAAAAAAGTTTTACAAATGAATGAATCAAACTTATGTGAATTAACACTTATTCAGAGCAAAAGAGAAAAAATACTTCAGTGAAACAAACCAAAGAAATTCCAAATAAATGTAAGCCATTCAGAGTCCCTCCTCACATCAGGGTCCCCATCACGGTGTCCCTTACATCAGGGTCCTCATCAGATTTTCCCTTCCATCAGGGTCCCCATCAGAGTCTCCCTTCCATCAGGGTCCCTATCAGAATCCTCCTACATCAGAGTCCCCATTACAGCTGTTTACATCAGAGTCCCCCTTCCATCAGGGTCCCTATCAGAATCCTCCTACATCAGAGTCCCCATTACAGCTGTTTACATCAGAGTCCCCCTTCCATCAGGGTCTCTATCAGGATCCCTTCTTATATCAGAATCCACCTACATCAGAGCTGTTTACATCAGAGTCCCCATCAAAGTCTCTATAAGAGAACCTTGGTACAAGTTGGAACGAGAAGGCTGGCACATGCTCATATTTCTGAGCAAAAGCTCAATGCAAAACACATTGTCAAACTCACGGGCAATGTCACACATGCACATATATGGGCACTGGTGCCAAATGGCCTATTTAAGGTGGACTCTGACATGAATGGTCTTCAGTTAGTTCCTGCTTTACCTGAGCCTTGACCTGCTCTACCTGCTTACCTGGGTACAACTCGGCTTGCCCCTGCTCTTGTCTTGCAATCCTGTACTTTTCTGCCCGGCTGTTGATGACCTTTTGTGTTGTGTCTTGGCTATGCCCCTCTCTGCCAAACAAGTGTCACCGTGTTCCAGTTCCTGGTTCTGCCTAGTGATCTACGGTCATCTGCTTCCTGCAAACGCCAGCTGGCGCTTCCTGTTACACCGGCCTTCATGACACTCACTGTCCTCACACTCTCTGTCATCACTACCAGTGGTGTTGGACAAGAGGTGAGGTGCAAGAGAAGCCCCCTCTCCAGCTCTATCTCCACCAGGTACGTGACAGTCCCCCTTACATCAGAGCCCCTGTTACACAAGAGTCCCCACAAAGTCTCCCTTTACATTAGTGGGCCGGATAAAATCTTGGAGTGGGCTGGGTTTGGCCCCCAGGCTGTAGTTGGAGGCCTTGGTTTAAAGCAGTGGTCTCCAAACTGTGGCCCAGGGGCCAGGTGAGACCCTTTGTCTGGAATTTTCCAGCCCTTGAGGCACTATTCCTCCCACTGATACCAATGATGGGGCACTATTCCTCCCACTGACACCAATGATGGGGCACTATTCCTCCCACTGACACCAATGGTGGGACACTAATCCTCCCACTGACACCAATGGTGGGGCTCTATTCCTCCCACTGACACCAATGATGGGGCGCTATTCCTCCCACTGACACCAATGGTGGGACACTAATCCTCCCACTGACACCAATGATGGGGTACTATTCCTCCCACTGACACCAATGATGGGGCACTATTCCTCCCACTGACACCAATGATGGGGCAGTATTCCTCCCACTGACACCAATGGTGGGACACTATTCCTCCCACTGACACCAATGGTGGGGCACTATTCCTCCCGCTGCTCACATGGAAGAAAAAAATATTTGAAATATATTTTAAAAATACTCCTCCCAAATACATTGACATATATTTGAAATGCTACAATTTTGGCCATATTCAATATATTTCAAAATATATTTTTATATATATATAATATATATATATATATATATATATATATATATATATATACACACACACACTGCATGTTGAAATGCGTTTTTATTACAAAATATATGAAAAAGATTTTTAAAAATACATTTCAAATATGTATAAGTATGTCTTTAAAATAAAAATCTACATTTTTGGAATGCATTCACAAATATATGTAAAAACATATGTTAAAATGACATTTTTATATGTTAAAAAAAATCTGACGAATATATTTTAAAAAATATGTATTTTTAAAAATGTATTTTTTTTTTAAATATATTCTTCAGACAGACTTTTGAACACCTTTTGTTTTGATGCTCCTAAAAATGTATTTTGCCATATAGTTCAGTTGGACTTTAATGACCCTCGTCCCTGCAACATTTAATTTTCCTCCTTTTTCTCCTTTGTCACTTCGTACAGCTGCTTG